GAGGTGGGTCTGGGCTGGGGGGAACGCGGGGCTGGCCTGTCCACCCACTACCCCACAGGGCCAGCTCGACTTTGAGCTCTCTCCTTGTCACCTAGGAAAAGCTGCGGCTCTTCTTGGATAAGAAATGCCAGTACCTGCCCTTCCAGGACTGGTCCGTCAAGTGCAAGAGGATGGTGGACACTGGCATCCTCATCCTCGTCCAGCTGGGCAAGCAAGTGCTGGTAACTAGCAGGGGAACCCCTTGGGTTTGTGTTTCTCCATGGTTTGGGGTGACTTGGGGGCTCTTGGAGCCTGGGACAAAACCTTTGTGAGGTGGTGATGGGGATGGAAATGCCCCAGGGATGGGGGGGGAGTGGGGCAATGGGGCAGACACAGCCCCCAGCCCCCACCCTTCTGCTCCCCCAGTCAGACCCAAAGGTGGTGTGCGGGACCATCAAGCTGTGCCAGCCCTGGGAGAGCCCCACGGGAGCCCTGAAGTTCCAGAAGCCGCCACCGGCCCCTGCGGGCCCCCCTCAGGATTTCGCCGACCTGGTGGCCCCCTTCATCGCCAACGTGCCCCTCCTGCTCCATCCCCAGGACCTGCCTCATGGCAAGGCCCAGGTACTGCGCCACAGGCACGGATGCCACTGATGCTCCTCAAGGGCGAGCATCACCTAAGCTTTGCCTAATTAAAAAATAATTAAAAAAAAATATTTAAAAATACTGCACGGGTGAAATTAGGGGTGTCACCAATTCGGGGCCGGGATATTGCCGGATCCAGTGGGGGGGGACGGACCACAATGATGCTGGTCAAAAAGCTGCCCCAGATCGCGACGGGCATTTAAATCCCAGCCCTGTGAATCCGGGGAGGGGGCTCAGTTTTATTGGGGGGGTATCAAGGTGTCCCTGCCCACGTTGTCCTGCAGGAGACGGATGAGACGTGCGGGGGCTGCCTGCAGCTGGTGGCGGCCATGCAGCTGGAGCTGGGGACCAACGGTGACTTCGCCCAGGCTCTGGTGGCCCGCGCCGAGCAGGCATGGCGGG